AAAAAAATATCAATCTTTTAATCATGTCAGTTACATTTCTATAATATTATATTTAATATATTTATATTATATAGCGGGAGTTGCATTTCTATAATATTATATTTAATATATTTATATTATATAGCGGGAGTTGCATTTCTATAATATTATATTTAATATAATAATTACACACTAAAAAATATTTTTCATATCACTATTAATTTTTTTTAAATTTTTTTTTTAAAAAACATTTTCTATGAAAATCACTTTTAAAAAAAAAACAATTTTCCAAGACTTTAATAACTAGTCAAAGTGGAAATGATCAACCGGTAACCAGTCTGGTAGGGAATCATAGCTGGTACAAACCTAGCCTAAATGCTTAGAGATAGTTGGATGTAAATCTAAGAGTTAATTTCCATCTCTTTCTGTTCTCATATGAAAACTTTTATTTTATTTTATTTTGGCTTCGATAATAAAATGTAGTCCCTCTCTCACTCACTAGATCCTGTCCCTTAATCACTTCGATTCGGTTCTAAGTGACTTTGTTAGAGTGTGTTTATTTAAACGATGCGCAACGCATAAACAAATACTCTCTTAGTCCTGTAGATGATGAAGGCATAGCTTGAACTCAACCTTGCTTAGCAACCCTACTGAACTAAACACTGGCTAAAGTTGATGAGGCTTCAATAATATTTTCGGGGTTGATTTTACAAAAGGAGCACGAAATTCTTGGGATGGTTAATCTGTCCATGGCGATACATCTTCACCTTCAACTTAAAATCTATCGTTTCTTTCTTTTGCCGGGACCTTATATTCCGAGACCAGTAATACATATTGCTTTTGGTATCCATGGTAATACACACCCGGTAAACAAGTCTGCATTGTGTCAAACTCAGAGCCGGTCACCATTGATTTGATTCATTTACAACCTCGCATATTGTAGAGGTAACTCGAATGCTCTCTCACAAGTAACACTTTTCAGTCTTCAATGTTAACCAATTTCTTCATTCCTCACACACATGCATACAATGCATTAGCAGTGGCTGTAGCAGTTATAGGGTTCAGCCTGTATAAGAATCCACCTTACCTTTTCATAATCAATGATTAGTGTTCAGCTCCAACAGCAAGTATGTTTGCTCCAAAATTATACAGAAAAACTATCAACACGCTGTAGTTCCTTAGAAATCCTGATGCATACAGACATGGGACAATCTGTCTTGATTGCATTTGAAGCAATGTGCGACCTGCTTGTAGCATATCCCTCCTGAAACAACCAAAACCCTACAGGCTGTGAGTATTATTAATGTCAATTGGAGATCCAATAGAGACACAACCCCAGGGAAGTTGAATCCCCCAAACCTGGACACCTAATTAGAATAAAAATATAAAGCAGCTTTACCTCCTCAGGGAAACTACATAATTACAAGACAATACATGCTTAAATCGTTTTGACTTCTATCCCTAACAGCTATTCCATGTTTAGAATCTCTAAAAGAGATAAAGCAAGTTAAATGAATGCTGTATTGTCCCATCATGGCTCCTAGCCCTTGGTCAATCACGATAAAGTGTTCCCAAGGAAGAGAAGTATTTATACCTTTTGCATTGCACTCATCATGGTCCTTAATGGAGGAGAATTGATTTTGGCACGGCTTGCCACCTGAAACAATAAAATAGATGACAAATCTTCATTACAATTTGTATATTGCCACATATCTTAGCACAATGAGATAAAAGAGGCCAAAGTAGAAGAAGACATTTGCAAAGAAGACCTCATCCATCTTGATGTATCCAGATTTTAATCTGGGATCACTTTCATCCAACATCTGTTTCAGAAGTTTTTCCAGATCAGTTTCTGCACCATTTCCTATCCATCCCCATTCCTCAGCCAAATTTATCATTTTACTGATGTAGGCAGCACTATGAAGAGGTCCTGTCCACAGGGGCCCTGAAATAACGAGCGACCTAGAACCCTGGGGAAAACCTGAGATTTAGCATGTATCATAACAATACATAGTTGGAAAAATACTCGTCTGAGACTTATGATGTCATGCACCCTATTGAGAACTGCAGAGCAAGAGATTGTACCACAAGAGAGTAGGATAAATGGAGGAAGCTAGAGGGAAACAGTTCAAATCATGATGTGAGGAGAATTGCAAGTGAAAATTTACATGTGATCCACTGCAAGAGCAACTAATCTGACCAAGTTCAGCCCATGAAAATTCTTGTGAATTTCCACAATTGTTGCAATAGGTGATGAAACCATAATGCCTGTCATTAAAGGTAAAGTCATTTGTAATTAAAAATACCAATAGCATGGTAGAGAATTGAACTCAAAATGCAGTAACATAGCAATTAACAGAAAGACCACCTGTTTTCAAGTAGCTTCCCTCGATTTACTCTGAGCATGACCCTAAAAACAGGTCCATGATACGAGTAGTAAGAAAAAAGTGGTGTGATATAATAGCCAAGCACAGAAGCTTCCCGTACAGCCCCACCTATAAGCATTCGCAAACCAACCTCATTCGAATATGGCATAGGACGTACATATGCTCCAAATGCAGCTAAAGAACTAGACATAAAAGTACACAAATCATAACCGTTCTACTTGAGGCAGTAAACAAGTTACAAACTCATTCAACCATAAGCAATAAAGCATCAAATTTTGACAATCAATGTTCACAGAAAGAAACCAGATCAATTATTAGTGCAATTTTCACTACATATCTTCTACTTTCTAGAATACCAGTGTCCAAGTTTAACAAGCAAACAACAAGACATGGTACTAGCTACTAATTTTAAGTTTTAACAAACAATGCAATTCAGTCTATCAACTGAACTGGACGTCACTTTGTACAAGTAGTTCATGTCATATAAAGAAGTAACAAAATTACTTGAAATGCAGTTCAAATACTCACTGGTCAGGATGGTGACCGCCTGAAGAGTGGCCATCAGTAGAAGTAACATAAAGCAATCCATCAAAACTTATTGTGTTCATTGCAGACCTCAAAAACAAGGAAATATCACTCCCAAACGAATCAATATCAATCAAATCAAAAAACTCCTTTTGCAAGTAACACTCACTCAACACTCTATTAGCATCTAAATGTGTAACAACCCATTTTCTTTCATCCCCAAAACCTCGGTCTACTCTCTTCAAATTATCTAAAATAACCCTCCTGTGCTCATCATTAGCATCATTTGCCAGCACAAAATCCGCTTTCGCTTCCATTAAGTAGCGCAAGGACCGGATTCCACACCCACACATTGCGTCAAGCACCCGTAATTTCCCTTTGGATTGATTGTACAGGGATGCTGCTAATACCCCCAAGTCTCTGCCCTTAGCACTTTCATGGCGAAAGAAGGTCTCTCCGGTCTCAAATTCGAGACCCCTTTCGCTTTGGAGCTCGGATTTGCAGTAAATCCCGTTAATTTGTGGTTTATAATGTTGAATTTTAGGGTTACGGTTTTGAGGTTTGTAGAGAAATGGGGCTTTAGGAGATAGAGTCAACATGGCGGGAAATGTGTTTGGGTTGGGCAGTTCTACTTTTAGTGGAGTTTATATGTCATATATGTATGGATAAAAAAATTTAACTGTATATAGATGAACGGCCCAGATATCTTTTGAACTGAAGAGCAAACCCCACCAGGATTTTGCCGCGTCATCATCAATCTTCCCTCCTTTTGGAACCTCTGGATAGTCGTAGTATAATTTTGTGGTCGAGGGGCTGGCTAGGTCTTAGGTTTCAGTCAGGGAACTGAAAGGTTAGGGTTTATTTTTGTGCGACTTTGAACAGAGAGATGATGAGCCGTTTGTCCTACATGCATGAGGGCAGCAGCAGCAGCAGCAGCAGCGAGAAGTTCAAAGATCTGGAAGGTAATCAGAGCAATAAGGCAAAGGAAAAAAGAAGAAAGAAGCAAATCTGGGTCTTATTAAGGTGAACTTCTTCCTAGTTTTTAAGGTCTTTCTTCTTTTGCTTCCATTTTTAGTATATTGTAATAGATAGGTAGGGAATAAAGACTGCTGGATTTATTATTTGGCCATTTAACTAATTGGTTTTATTGGAGAACTTAGATTTTTTTTGCTGCATTTCCTATTTAATTGTAGTATTTTTACTTGGAATATTTTATGTTTCCTATTTGGTGCAATTTCCTTTGGTTTTCCTTTTCAAAATTTATTCCTAATGCGGTTTTAGGGTTTATTAGAATTTGGTGATAGCATAAGGGCAATCACTTTCTTCTCCTCTTTTCTTTTACCTTTCTTCTCTCCCCTCCTTCCTTATTTGCTTGTCTTATCCTGAATCAGTAAATCCTCAATGGTCAATGCCCACATTGTTACTGTGACTACTGGACTCGAAGTCTGAACTGGTACAGAAGAATTTGGCCTGGGTGGTTGGTTCTTGAAGCAGGGATTGTGATAGAAAAGTTCACATAGTTGTTGTGTAAAAGAACAGTTCCAGCATTATAATTTGTGATTTTAATCAGCAGTGAATTATAATCATAATGGTCGTTCAATAGAAATGCCGAATCGGGTGCCCTCAACTGACCTATAGTTGCAGCATCATGTTTGCTTAGTTTTGAAAAGGTATGGTGAGATATTTGTTCAATTTGGAATTTGGTTATGAACGTTATATGCAATTATATCATTCTTTTTTATCCAAGGACATCATGTAGTTGAGCTTAGCAAAGTCTGTTACCAGAGCACGGAACTATGCCAACCATTTGTATTAGACCTTTGGATTGACAAACATTTGACCATTAGAATTTGGATTGACCTTCAGTATCAACCATTTGTAGCTTTTGTCATGTCTTCGTTGGATAAAGTAACAACTCTCTCTCTCACTCCTTTTGGCAAAGGGGTATCCATTTGTCCTTTCGGAGAACCACAACTTTCCCTCCGTAGCTTGAGACTAGTTGTGCCAGGTCACATTAGTCCTTGGGTTGATGAGCCAACCTTGTTTTTAGATAAAGTAACGTCTATTGCATGACTAAGCCACTTGTGCCCAACTCATGTCATTGAGGATGGTACGGAGAGAATGGATTTTCCTTGTAACTTATAAGGCTATATACAAGTTCACAATGAGATTTAGGACTGTTTTATCAATCTATGGAATACAGCATCATTGAAGCCCGCCCTTCATTTCTCTTGTCGGATTAAGAAGGATGGCCTTCAAGAAAGCTTGATCTCAACTGTTAGGTCTGAAAGATGGCCAAATCATTGAAGTTCACCAATTTATCTTCTATACTCAAGATGGTCTCCCATACAAACTAGGTACTGTAATTGGAAAGAAACATAATCCTTTTACAAGGAAATGCTCTATTTTGTTGGTTCCTATGATACTTTGGTGGATATCTCCTTTGTATATGGTTCATTGTATTCAATATATCGAATATTTGTATCTATGTTGTGACTTCATGAATAAGGTCCTAGCTACATACCTTGTTAGGTCATCCTGAGATGCTTGGGCTATTCATGGAGCTCAATTACATGTTTTAGTCGCAGATTTTAGTTAATTCCAGGAATGCTATATAATATTGCACATTCTCAAACATATCATGTATTTCCATAATTTTCTGTTATGCTAGTATCTGATAATTTTACCAAAAAAGGCCAGAAAATTAATTCAATCAATTCTGCATCTACATGCAATGAATGCAATTAATAGGTGATATCTGGGAACGAGTCAAAACATTTAGCCATGAAGGGAGCTACCAATATACCTTTTGCATAATTTGGACTAGAAAAATAGGGATTAGGTGAGATGTAATGAGAAGTGGATAAAAATTGATTTTTTTGTCAATAATAAAAGCGCTATGTGCATATTTGGAAAACTATTATAACCTTCTTACATTCCATGTTGGCCCATTAATGAAGAAGAAGCCACTTTGCCAAGAGAATCTCTGCAAATTTATGACAGGCAAGACTCCTTTTTTGGCTGTGAAGCCTGACACAAATATTTTACATTTGGACACCCAGCAACAACAAGATTTATCCAAACTTTTCCTTGTTATCTCGCTGGCATTGTTAATTTCACTTATGCTCCTCTACTAATCAACTCGTGAAGCTTCCCTTCAAGTTGAAAAGAAAGGGAGAGGGGTGGAAAATTTATAACAAACTTTTCCTTGTTATCCAAACTTTTCTTGTTTTTATCATCACTGTGCTCTTTTCTTTCTTCAATCCATATTTGTAGAGACCAATTATTTTCCTTGACAGTGCAATCTTATTTATGTTAGTGTTCCAATCTCAAATCCTGTTCTAAAAAATGTGCTCCATTTTTTAAGATAACTTGCAGCATTTTTTTTAATGGTTGTTCCAGATTTTCACTAGTTTAGAACTTTTAAGATATCATCGTATAAGAAGGCTTTGTGAAAAAATCTCAGAAAATGATATGCAGTTCCAGTCTGCAGCCGATGTGAAAGCAGCTTCAACTTCTCATGAAGCATTGAAATTGTTGGTTTGCTTCTCAGCTTGGTGCCAATTTCATGTTTAGTTTGTTTATTCTTAACACTACTAGGGTTTTCTTCATCACTAGTCACCATGGGTTCCTTAATCTGTTATTAATACTGGCTTCTATCAATCTGTATATTTTCTGCTAAAAATATTTATCCTTTTTGAATTTGAAACTTTTTAATCTTTAACTTTCAACATTTTGCTGTACTGATTATTTGTAGTCAGATTTGAAATTGTCAATGGGCCACTGCATGTTTGAGTGTTCTTAGGCTGCTCTTCCTGGAATTGAAGCATCTATCTCATAACTTGGATATGGGAAATCTTCGAAGGAGTTTTTCACCTCCCTCCTTTTCCACCTTAACCTCCTCCTCCTCCTCACTTGGTCCACACCCATTGGAAATTGATTCGGAACTATGGCTAATGGTTGAAAAAAGGACCCAAGAGATATTATATACCATTCAACCTGCTTTTGTTTCTGAGCAGAAAAGGAAGGAAGTCATCGATTATATTCGGAGTTTAATTAAGGGTTATTTTGCAGTTGAGGTGAGATTTGTGCACTGCCTTTCTAGGTGATTTTCTTTTTGGTGGCAGAAATGTTGAATAAATCAGTTTCCTTTTTTTTCTTCCTTTCAGTTTGGAATAGATCTTTCTTTTTAGTGCATACAATCATGTGCCTGTCAGAAGTTTGTTCCAATGTTTTCCTATTGAAATAGTGAATAAACTAATTATGACATGGGCATTCTCATTAGAGACTACTCTCTGCTTTTAGCATTGGAAACATGAGAATTTGAACTGCAATAGTTGATTAGTGGGCTCATCTCAAGTTATTCACCTGGAGGATGACTTTGTTGGGTTTCTTTATCATAAAGCATGCTGTTGTAGCCTTACTGGATGTTGAGATAAGTGTTTAGCCTGAAAATCTATGAGTTATCTACATGTGTCCACCTTTTAAAATTCATGCTAGCTTTCTGAAGTGTTTCACGTAAAAGTTGCTTGATCTTTTCAGCAATAATGAATGCCATTTAGTTGGATACTTATTCTTGGGATTTGAAAGTCGACGCCTTCATCCTTCACATGGATCTGAAATTTTAACACATCTATGTGTGCATATGTACAAGACTATTTACTCATGATTGCTTTTTTCTTGTTTTGGACATTTGACAGAAATAACCAGGGCATCCCCTGTTTGAGATTTTTTTTTTTTTTTTTTTTTTTTTGGGGGGGTGGG